CATTTAAATAGAAACCATAGTAATAATTTCTGAGCAACTTTTTGTGTTTAAAAAGATTCTAAAATTGAAATATTCAAAACTTAATTAATTTTAATGATTTACTTTAACTAAAAAAAATCAATCAAAAGTTGTTAAAAAAATCTACTCAATCGAGCATATTATAATATTTTATTACTGATAAAGGCAGCGCCCGGTGGTATTCACTCAGGTTCGTTAACGTTCGTTGTTTTATTTTTAATTCAGGTTATGTTGAGGAAAAGGAATAAGGGGAGTGGACTTTATGAATGAAAGTAGAATGAATTTTCCAATATATAATTATGACAATTAAATGTATTATACATGAATCATAAAATCTTATATACAGCAATTTGCATAAGGAGGACACTTAATACTAATGCCACAATGGCGCTGATATAAACAAAAATAAATTATAATTTTCAGTAAGTAAAACATTTGTAATATTACAGACTGATAGTAACACACACAAATACAATTAAAAAATGAATAAATACAAATAAATGATTTAATTTTGTAGTTAATTCTATTTATTATATCAAACCAAATCGACAATAAATATTTTAAAAATATTAGAAATTAATGATTTTAATTTGTTGTATGGAGAAAGCTGGTTAAATAACTTTTTATTTGAAATGAGAATTTTTTCTAATATTTGAGGGTGATGTCTTAGACTAGATACGATTTGTTATCGTTAAAAGAAATTAGTTCGATGAGATCAGAGAAAATTATTTAACAGACACACAAAAAAAACATATCATGGTAAAATTAATATCTTCTAAGCTACGCTAAAAATATAAGTTTATTATTGTTTAATAATTATTCAATTTAATAATATGTATGTTGTGTAATGTTAATTTAAAAAAATCTCGTACATTAGTTTTATATATCAAAACTAAACAAAGTATCTGTTCTTGCTGTACAAAGAAAAAAAAAATGAACTATCATTTTATAATTTGAAAATTTTTTTTTAATAATTATTAAATTAATGTAATGAAAAATAAGAAAAAATTATAATTTCACTAATAAATAAATTTATCACTGAAAATAAAACACACCTAATGTTGTATTTTAATATCACAAAAACAAAAATGTTAATAAATCTTTAGAGTTCTTTAGAGTTACTGTCGAAGTTCTAATTCTAAGTAATCACTATGAAAGCTTTCTGAAAGTGTTGAGACTTGGGATGTTGAAGTAAAATTATCATTTTCTATTAATTTCCAGAGGTTAACCAAATGAGTTTTAGCCCGTATTATTTCAAAAAATAAACAATTAGAGTGACGTAAGTTGTTGAAAGCAAATTAAGTAGAATAATTGTGTAGAGAAGTACGATATTCGTGATTCACATAAATTCGTATATTCATTTTTGTGCGGGGCTAAATAGTATTATTATGTCAATAACACAGACGTGTTTATAATCACATCCCCGAGATCCCTTTCTATTTCATTCTATTATAGTCACTACCTAATAACTCTAGCCACTTTTACTCTCTTTATACCACACAACTATAACAGCCAATTTTTTCCTTTCCCATTATACTACCCGCTACCCTTTCTTTTCCAAACTCCCTCTTTCTTTTTGATTATTACAGAATACAAAATTAAAAATATTGAAGAATTTATTTCAACGGAATCAAACAAATTTGTTGAAAGATTTCATATTGAAACTGATTTTTTAGATTTAGATCCTTTGTTATAGAAAGGAAACAATCAATATAGGGAAGGAAAAAAAATTTAAAAGTTGTAAATTATTTGACAGAGAGTAGTGTGAAGTTCATCTATGAATATAATAATATTTTAACAAAAGATGAAGCACAAAAACAATACTTACTACAAAATGTTACAGAATATCGGCGTTGTTTTCCTAATTGCAGTAAAAGTGTATAATGTCAAGATTTCTAAAATCGGGAAAATTTTTGAATATCTAGTTTATTTTTTCATAGGTTTTTTTATTTGTAAAGTAGTTTTTAGTATTTCATTAATATGCAAGTCTGAATTTTTTTTCTATAATTTTAAAAATTATTCAATGTATCTTATGAGTAGTAAATGGTAGAAAAAAATGTTAAATTAAAAATATATAGAAAATATATAATTAACGGTCACCCTAGTATTCATTTAGGTTTTGTTATTGCCAAAACGACAGTAAGACGACAGATAGCGTTTTTAGTTGTGATGTGACAAATTAAAATTTATGATGTTTAATAAAAACATCATACAAGGCTTAACTCAAAATCAAACCAAACTACTTTGAATTCGAAGCTCATTTTATTAAGTTTTAAGTTTGGAAATAAATCGAAAAATTATATCAGAATATCAGTTTGAAATCTGTTAAAGTTAAAAATCGATTCGAATATTCTTAGCCCAATAACAACCATTTTGTAGTTACTTTTTGTCACAGTGTTTAAGTTTTATTGTATTTAAAATATTGGTTCGGTTCTAAAGTATTTTCGTTATAAATATTTATAAGTATTGCATAAACAAACCATTTCTAGTTGCATGCATGAAATGTCACTTTAATCTATTATTGTTGTAATAAAAGTTGCGTCAATGTTAAGTAAAATATTTATAATACAATTTATTTTAGCTTCGATACGAAGCTGAGAAGGTAATGGTTTTACTAAGATGTGTTTATTTTTTTTTTATTATTTTTTTTTTGTGTCTGTTACCACTTTTTATCAGCTCTCACCGAACCGATTTCTTTCAATGATACGTCAAAATATCACAAATCGTATCTAGTCGAAGACATTACCCTCAAAAATTGAAAAAAATTCCCTCGTTCCCCGAAAATGAGGGAAACCTCCAAAAAAATTACGAATTTAAAAATCGGTAATTTTCGAAATTTTTTCAATTTTTTTTACTTAAAAGTGCAATAACTTTTTCAAAAATGAACATATCAATATAACTCTTTTTTATTTAGATGCATAATATTATTACCTTTCATTTGGTATATTTTTTTCATAAATTTAACCCTTAACCTGCCCACAAGGGTGGATTTAAAATAACAACTTTTTCACAAAAAATTAACTTTTTCAACTTAACTTTTGAAATTGTTACGGAAGGTCTGACACTTTTATATATGTCTTAAATTAAAGCTAATGTAATGTTCTTTATTATGAAAAAAAAAAAAATTTCGGATTTTATTTTATGTTCACGGTGAAAATGGCTACCGAATGCTATTTCTGTGTGAAAATTTTCGATTTTGTATTTTACATTTTTAACTTTATTATGCTATAACTTTTTGAAAAATGTATGGATCAATACAAATTTTTCATGAAGAGTAGTATTTATATACATCTTTCATTTGACATACTATTTTTTAAATCGGACCATTTCCCTATATACCCCCCTCGTATATATAATTACGAATCTAAAAAATGCATATAGAAAGTAGAAGTTTTTCAACTTAAATTTTGAAAGTGTTCCGGAAAGTCTGACACCTTTAAATATATATTTTAAATTAAAGCTAATGTAATATACTTTATTATTCAAAAAAAAAAATTTCGGACTTTATTTTGTCTTCACGGTAAAAATAGCTACCGAATGCTATTATTNTTTTATTTAAAATTTAAAAATAATTAATATTTTTAATAAAATGTAAAAAAATTAATTATTGAGATATAGCTATAGACCTAACGTATAACTATTATTTAAAAAAAAAATCAGCTAAAAATATTAACTGGATCAAAAGTTATTTAAGTTGTCAGTGAGTGGTGGGCCACCCTGTATACCCCCCTCGTATATATAATTACGAATCTAAAAAATGCATATAGAAAGTAGAAGTTTTTCAACTTAAATTTTGAAAGTGTTCCGGAAAGTCTGACACCTTTAAATATATATTTTAAATTAAAGCTAATGTAATATACTTTATTATGCAAAAAAAAAATTTCGGACTTTATTATATCTTCATGGTGAAACAGACATCAAAGTTTATAAAAAAAATACGATATTTGTAAAAAAATTCTTTTTTATATTTTTAACTTTATAATGCTATAACTTTTTGAAAGATGTATGGATCAATGTAATTCTTTTTTTTATAGATGCATGATGTCGTTACCTATCAGTTGGTATATTTATTTTATAAATCTGACTTTTTACCTGCCTACAGGGAAGGATTCAAAATAACTTTTTCACAAAATATTTACTTTTTCTACTTAACTTTTTAAAGTGTTCCGGAAAGTCTGACACTTTTATAGATATATTAAATTAAAGCTAATGTATAAACATATCAATATAATTATTTTTTTTATAGATGCATGATGTCATTACCTATCATTTGGTATTTTTTTTTTTATAAATTTAGCCCTTTACCTGCCCAAAGAGGGGGATTAAAAATGACAACTTTTTCACAAAAATTAACTTTTTCAACTTAACTTTTGAAAATGTTCCGGTAGGTCTGACACTTTTATACATATCTTAAATTAAAGCTAATGTAATGTAATGCAAAAAAAAATTTCGGACTTTATTTTGTCTTCACGGTGAAAATAGCTACCAAATGCTATTATTGTGGGAAAATTCTCGATTTTATTTTTTACGTTTTTAACTTTATAATGATATAACTTATTGAAAAGTGTATGGATCAACATAATTTTTTTGTGAGAAATAATATTTTGTAATAATCCCTTTTTCATTCGACATACTTTATCTGAATCAGGATATTAATAACGAACTAGCAGATCATGTTGCTTTTGGTATAATCCACCAATTTTTTAAAATTAAACACAATCTAAAGATTTGCATCGAAGCGTTTTTTTTATAGTGATTTTAATCACTGTTAGATATCATTATACTTGATCCAACTATGGCACGTCACCACTGAGCCGCGACCTACCTGTGCTGGGTTTTTAGCATATAATGTAAGTAATATTGATACAAAACAATCATAATATATTTTTTATTTAAATATACTATCTTGATGTCAATAATTACATACCATAATATACTGTACGTACTGGTCATTACCTTTTTTAATAAAATTAACTCTTTGGGATAGGACTTATTGAAATAATATGCTTTTAATATACATTTTTTAACAAAGCTATTATTATTTGCAAAAAGTTTAATAATAAAATTAAAAGATTATTTTACATTTTATTTAACTAATTTTTGACTTCTAAAAATGTTGAAAAATTAAATTTTTTATTTATATTATTCATTATTCTTTCTAGGATTTTTGAATTTATTTTTAGAGATTAATTGATATGCATAACCTAAAAAAAAAAAAAAAGAGTACAATTAATAGTATAGTAAAGAATAAAGATATTTAAAACCATATTGATTGAAATGTGAAGGTGATTATAATGTTCGTTATATAAAAGCTTCAATACGAACAGAGGATGAAACTATTTTAGAAAGCACCTTCAAAAACCCTACAAAAAATCGGTTACTTAAAGGTTTATTCGTTCTGTATATTTTATTTAAATTTATTTTTTACAATTTTTTTTGTTTTTTTTTCTTGAATTTGTAATTTTGCAGAATTTATACAAGTTTTTTTTTAATATATAAATCTTATCAGTTAATGGTGTGTGCATTAGGTATTATGTATGTCCCCAATTATAAAATTAGCTTATATACAGTCAACCGATCCAATGGTCAGTACCCGGTTTGTTGTGACAGTTGACCGCACACAGTGTATCCCTACACTCTTGTATTCTCCCTATGAACCAGTTCAAATTTGGCACCCCCNCTCTTGTATTCTCCCTATGAACCAGTTCAAAGTTGGCACCCCTACCACCCGGCGACGTCACGATCACCGGTCACTACACAAATGCCGCTACAACGGATTCTTTTTTTTTTCCATCTTTACTACCGAGGAGTCAAGTTGTCTGTTTGTATATATATTTGTTGTGAAAACCACGTTTTTTTGTTACATTTATTTTTTTGTCCTCCGTTTTTTTATTAAAATAAACGTTGAGTCGACCTGCCGTCTACTTGTGGTATCAACCAGGCTGTATTTTTTTGTCCTCCGTTTTTAGCTTTGATGCGAAGCTGAGAAAGTAATGGATTTACTAAGATGTGTTTTTTTTTTTTTTGTGTCTGTTACCACTTTTTATCAGTTCTCACCGAATCGATTTTTTTAATGATACGTCAAAATATCACAAATCGTATCTAGTCGAAGACATTACCCTTAAAAATTAAAAAAATTCACTCGTTCCCCGTAAATGGGAGTAACCTCCAAAAAAATTACAAATTTAAAAATCACTAATTTTCGAAATTTTTTCAATTTTTTTTACTTAAAAGTTCCATAACTTTTTCCAAAATGAACATATCAATATAATTATTTTTGATATAGATGCATAATATCATTACCTTTCGTTTGGTATTTTTTTTCATAAATANATATCAATATAATTATTTTTTTTATAGATGCATGATGTCATTACCTATCATTTGGTATTTTTTTTTTTATAAATTTAGCCCTTTACCTGCCCAAAGAGGGGGATTAAAAATGACAACTTTTTCACAAAAATTAACTTTTTCAACTTAACTTTTGAAAATGTTCCGGTAGGTCTGACACTTTTATACATATCTTAAATTAAAGCTAATGTAATGTAATGCAAAAAAAAATTTCGGACTTTATTTTGTCTTCACGGTGAAAATAGCCACCGAATGCTATTATTGTGGGAAAATTCTCGATTTTATTTTTTACATTTTTAACTTTATAATGATATAACTTATTGAAAAGTGTATGGATCAACATAATTTTTTTGTGAGAAATAATATTTTGTAATAATCCCTTTTTCATTCGACATACTTTATCTGAATCAGGATATTAATAACGAACTAGCAGATCATGTTGCTTTTGGTATAATCCACCAATTTTTGAAAATTAAACACAATCTAAAGATTTGCATCGAAGCGTTTTTTTTTATAGTGATTTTAATCACTGTCAGATATCATAATACTTGATCTAACTATGGCACGTCACCACTGTGCCGCGATCCCCCTGTGCTGGGTTTTCTTATTAAAATAAACGTTAGTCGACCTGTCATCTACTTGTGGCATCAACCCGGCTGTTCATATTTGTTTGTCCTTCGTTTTTTGTTAAAATAAACATCGAGATGATGATGATGATGTGAGATACATCTATGGCCGGTGGTGGGCTGGCAGTCCTCAAAATCAACAACAACATCAAGTACAACATGAAACCCTCCCTTTTCAAACCCTTTATTCATGTTATATATATAGCACCTCAATTTTATACATTTAAATTGTCAATAATTAAAAAGTAAAATATTATATTATACATGGCCTTCCTTTTTTTATTAATATTTGTGTTTTTTTTTAATCAAAACCATAGATAGTCAACAAGGACTAAATTTTAGTTGATTTTTTCATCATTTTTTTAGGTGCTATAGTTCATATTTTGGATCAACACAAAGAGAAGTGCTGCATTGCATTAAAATCTTATCGTTGATTGTGGTTGAAATTTTCTTGCTTAGTAGTATAGTTGATTTTTGAGTCCTATCTGTTGTAGTCGTACAAACTCTGTTGTATTGCACCTTATTTAGTACTTATGTTTATAAGTAAACGCTACCCCAGTATGAGTAGCGTAGGTGAAACCAGACTTCTGGTCTTCTTCTTCTTCCCCGCCTTAATCCCAACTACTTGGGATCGGTCACCCATATCCTAAACTTCCATTTGACACGATCTCTCACATCAGCTGTCCTCATATCACATTCAATAGCATCTCTCCGTCTCTTTTTTGGTCTTCCTCTACCTCTTCTGCCTTCAACATTCATTTCTACAACTGTTCTTACAGCTTCCGATTCTTCTCTCATAACATAACTAAACCATCTAAGTCTATTTTCTCTCATCTTATCCACGATTGACGCTACACCTATACTCCCTTTTATATGCTCGTTCCTTATCCTATCTTCTCTAGTCACTCCACTCATCCATCTAAGCATTCTCATTTCTGCTACACTCAATATTGATATAAAACAATCATAATATATTTTTTATTTATATTTATGTAAATATTATATACTCTCACATGTATTTCATTATTCATTCATAAGTTTGACTTATCCATGTGCATAAATATAATACCTCTTTGCTATATAAAATCTCAAAAGTTTAAAACTCAAAAGTCCCTAGATACCAATGTACTTAAACTTTGGTGAAATTTTTATAGATGTCATCTATTAACTAGGAAAAAGTATAAAATTCCTAAAATTAAAGCACTTAAAAAACTATTTCTTAAAAAAAGTGTGGCTGATATTTTATGATCCTAAAATCGACAAATTTTTTTTGTTAAGTTCAAACCCATCTAAGACTCAGATTTGTTGTCAAATGTTCAAAAATAGTAAATCAACAGAAAGACAAAATTTTCTTTTATATTACTTATCAAAATTTTGATTTGATTCAATTTATCTAAAAAAATACAGCAGTTTTAAATGCAAATATATAAACACAGTGTGATTTATTGAGTACAATCATCCCTAATTTATTTATTTAGTCGAAGGCGAATGGATAATGTGACTGTTATTCATATTATTAATGTTATTATCATATTTTTATTTTTAATAGTACGCCAGTGTCTTTGTTGCCCGTCTAAACACTTTTGTTCAACACTATATTCGTCATTTATGCGGTTGACGCACCGAACAATATTCATGCTATTTATTAATGCTATATTTTATTACATCGTTTAAATTTAAGTTACTAACCATAGGTTAATTCATAATTATTATTATTGCATGGGCTAATAGAAATAAAAGATTAGAATTTTTTTTTTTTTTGTGTGTTTACAGCCTTTTAGACCCCCATTCAATACAATTTTGCGCTAATATATGCCAATCCGGGTAGAAGTCTGCTACATCGTTCCCTTCTTTTCCCCTTTTGATTGCCTTGTAAAATCGGCTTTAGGTTTCCTCCACACGTGACCTGCCCATTCCAATATTTTTCTTTTTATCTCATTTATTATATCTGGCCTGTTGTACAGGTCACTTAGTTCATCATTGTGTCTTTTACCTCATTCCCCTGTTTGTGGATCAAGACAGGGTTCATAAATCTTTCTTAATATTTTCCTTTCGAAATCATTCAGTTTAGACTCATCACATTTTCTTATAGTCCAACATTGCGCCCCATATCGTACTATAGATCTTATTAGCGTGATGTACAGCTGGATTTTTAGTTTTTTTGTGAGTGTTCTTGACTTAAATAAGTTTTCCAAGGCGTAATAACATTTGTTCCTCATTTGAATCCAGTTTTGGTATTTCATATTCCATATTGTTTTATTGGGTGATCATTGTACTTCCAGTATGTAGGGCTATGGGTGCACTACATTCCCAATGTCATATTCCTACTAGAATCATCCGCCAGGAACTCTCAACCAGTAGGAAGCTCGGGGCCCCGCGTTCGCCTAACCTAAAGAGCTAATAAGACGAAACCTAACTCGGCGAATAGTCATCCAAGTAGTCATTGAGTATACTTAATAAAACAGACTGTATTATTCAGTAATTTTAAACTATTATAATTTTTTAAAGATATTTTTAATAATAAAATAAATTAAGGTTTTTTTTTTAAATTTTGGAAAATAATGTGATCAACTTCTATGGTTNTTTTGGAAAATAATGTGATCAACTTCTATGGTTTAATTAAACTATTATGACTTATAGTTGAATAAAACCGGTTCGGTAGGTGCTTATATAATGTGACAGATGCAAAAATAATTCTAATTCATAGTAAAATTGATAACATCTTATGTTCGCATTGAAGCTAAAATAAATTTCAATGAAAAATATATTTGTAACACATTTTCATTGAAATTTTTAATAAATATAATTTTATAACTATAAAACCTGTTTTGTTACATCCTGTGCAAAGTCTGTTTTCTATATTCCGTTGATAACATTCAGAACAGAATTTCTTTTGACAGCATAATCTTTCATATATAACTTTATTTTTGGGTATTTTATTTCCACAAGCAAAACATACTAAAAGGATAAAATATAGTGTAATTATTATAAATTCACAATTTTATATAAATACATTTAAAATTGACACGACTTACATCGTGTTGAGGGTAGTAGAGACTCGTGGGCCGTTTATAAATAAGTAACTACAGATTATTGAAAAAAAAACAACCCGAAAAGACGAACGCAGTTAATAATATACTTCGCATAATATTGTGGCACTTTTACTAGTGTTGGCGACTCGGTGTCCGGCATTATCCTCGGCCGTCTAAAAGTTAGCAGCGTTGAAGTCGAGTGCGGATCGGTTCGTCGAGTCCGGTCATGCGCCACGTCCGAAGCCGGTGGTGTACATCCTCGACGTTGTCACTTTGACGACGGGAAGAAGACTTGACGGATCTTTTGCGGAGGGTCGTCGTCGGCCATGTGGCACTTGCTGGACTTTGCACCTCGGCGTATGGCACGCGGTGTTGGTCAGTTAAATACTCATAAAATCGGGTGACGGCTGATAAAGGTGTCATAAGGTCGCGGGACATAGTGTATGAAGAAGCGACGCGTGGCCGTGTCAAAATTTTAAAACAATTTTATAATAAAAACTATATAAACTTAAAAATTGAATTATTGAAAAATTTTATACTTACGATAAAAACCTATAAAAAATATTGTTAAGATTAATTTAATAATAAATGAATAATATATTATTAGTATCTTGTATAATCTTCTTTTAGTACATTTCACTAAATCGATGTTTTAAACACAGATTTAAATTTAAATTATTTAATGTCATAAACAAAAACTACAAAAAGTAGCTTTTTTTATATTAAGAGGAAATTTTAATATAACATAACATACCATCTGTATGATTATTGCAAAGGGGACATTTTCCTTTTTTTTCTATTATCCATTTATCAAGACATTCTTTACAAAACTCTCTGGAGCAACATTTAACTGTAGTCATAGTAGACTCAATTGATAAAAGACAAATTGGGCATTCTAAAAAGACAAAGATTAATAAAATTATGTATAGGTTTTAAATACTAAGTTTTAGAGATCAGTTTAAAATTATAAATTTTACATTCGTATGTTATAAAATAACATAAATTGTAATAAGGTTAAAAATGTTTAAATTATTTTTTCTATGTTATTTATGATTTTAAACATCCAGCACAGTGGGGTCGCCACATAATAAACACAGTGTTGATGATATCTGATAGTGATTAACATCAATATCATAAAGAAAACGCTTCGATCCAAATCTGTTAAATTTCACTTGTTAAAAACACTTGTTGGACAACTTTTTTTTTAATATAGTAGAAAATTTCAATAATTAAATTTGATATAGGTTAGAAATTGTTTGACCTTCCGTAATATTGTCAAAAATTGAGTTGAAAAAATAGACATGCTTGGGCGGTCTTTTTAATAATAATAAAATTTCTATTTTGACTTATTATAACTTAAAATAATCTTGAGTGGAATGGCTTAAAATAATATTGTTGATAAGAAAGCCTTAAAAGTAATATTTAACTATTGTTTAAACATAAGTATTATAGCAATTTAATTCGGTAAAAGTAAAATGGACAAAAAAATGTAATATAAGACAATAATAACGATGCAACGCTGTTTACATTACAATGTACAGTGACGTAAGAAAAAATAACACATACCAGCCTACTATTTAATAATACTAAATAAGCATGAATCATAAATGTATTACTTAACAATAAAGTAAATGATTTTAAAAAATTTTTATTTTTATTTAAACATATAAGAACTTAACAGGTTTATCTTTTTCTTCTCCTTTGGTAAAAAGACAATAAAAATATACGAAATAGTTTAATTGGTTATTGTTAATCAATAAAAAATAAAATTAGTGATTGTCATAAATATAAGACATTATGCATTTATAAAAAAATTTTTTTTATTGATTTGTTCGTTTTTTCAAAAAGTAATGGCAATTTTAAGAAAAAAACCCAGCACAGTGGTGACGTGGCATAGATGGATCAAGTATAATGATATCTGACAGTGATTAAAATCACTATCAAAAAAAAACGCTTCGATGCAAATCTGTAGATAGTGTTTAATTTTAAAAAATTGGTGGATTATTCCAAAAGCTTCATAAACTGCTAGTTCCTTATTAATATCCTGATTCAGATAAAGTATGTCGAATGAAAAAGGGATTATTAAAAAATATTATTTCTCATAAAAAATTATGTTGATCCATAAACTTTTCAATAAGTTATATCATTATAAAGTTAAAAATGTAAAAAATAAAATCGAGAATTTTCCCACAATAATAGCATTTGGTAGCTATTTTCACCGTGAAGACAAAATAAAGTCCGAAATTTTTTTTTCGCATAATAAAGTAGATTACATTAACTTTAATTTATAATATAAATAAAAGTGTCAGACTTTCCGGAACACTTTCAAAATTTAAGTTGAAAAAGTCAATTTTTTGTGAAAAAGTTGTCATTTTGAATCCCCCCCTGTAGGCAGGTAAAAAGTCAGATTTATAAAAAAAATATACCAAATGATAGGTAAAGACATCATGCATCTACAAAAAAAAGAATTATATTGATCCATACATCTTTCGAGAAGTTATAGCATTATAAAGTTAAAAATATAAAAAAGAATTTTTTTACAAAAATCGTATTTTTTTTATTAAGTTTAATGTCTGTTTTCACCATGAAGATAAAATAAAGTCCGAAATTTTTTTTTACCATTATAAAGTATATTACATTAGCTTTAATTTAAGATATATATAAAAGTGTCAGACCTTCCGGAACATTTTCAAAATTTAAGTTAAAAAAATTAATTTTTTGTGAAAAAGTTGTCATTTTAAATCCCCCCTTGTGGGCAGGTTTAGGGTTAGATTTATGAAAAAAATATACCAAATGAAAGGTAATGATATTATGCATCTATATAAAAAAGAATTATATTATAATGTTCATTTTTGAAAAAGTTATGGCACTTTTAAGTAAAAAAAATTGAAAAAATTTCGAAAATTACCGATTTTTAAATTCGTAATTTTTTTGGAGGTTTCCCCCTTTTACGGGGAACGAGGGAATTTTTTTCAATTTTTAATTTAAAAGTGGTAACAGACACAAAAAAAAACACACATCATAGTAAAACATATATGTTCTCAGTTTGGCATCGAAGCTAAAAAACACATACCAGCCTGCTATTTAGTAATACTAAATCAGCATGAATCATTAATGTTTTACTTAATAATATAGTAAATGATTATACTAAATTTTTGTTTTTATTTTAACAGATATGAACTTACCAGAGACATCGTTTTCTTCTCCTTTGGTAAAAAGACAATAAAAATATAAGAAATAGTTTAATTAGTTATTGTTAATCAATAAAAAATAAAATTAGTAATTGTCTTAAATATAAGACATGCATTTATAAAAAAAAAATTTTTATTGATTTGTTCGTTTTTTCAAAATGTAATGGCAATTTTAAAAAAAAAATTTCGAAAATTACCGATTTTTAAATTCGTAATTTTTTTGGAGGTTTCCCCCTTTTACGGGGAACGAGGGAATTTTTTTCAATTTTAAAGGGTAATGTCTTCGACTAGATACGATTTGTGATCTTTTGACGTATCATTGAAAGAAATCGGTTCGGTGAGAGCTGAGAAAAATTGGTAACAGATACAAAAAAAAAAAAAAAAAAAAAAAAAAAAAAAATCACATCTTCGCATCGAAGCTAAAAAAATTTCGAAAATTAGTGTTTTTTAAATTTGTATTTTTTTTTTGAGGTTTCCACCATTTAAAGGGGAACGAGGGAAATTATTTAATTTTCGAGGGTAATATCTTTGATTAGATATGATTTGTGATCTTTTGACGTATCGTTGAAAAGTATCGGTCCAGTAAGAGTTGTTGTTAATCAATAAAAATAAAAATTAGTAATTGTAAAAACAGTAATTATAAAACTAGGCTAGTAATGGTTTATGTTTAAAGCGTAAACTAAAGGTTTAAGTATCTCAAAGGTTTTTTATAACAACTATAGTATGAATATATACATTTAGTAATCGTATCTCTTTCATTGTTTTCTATTAATTATACAATCAAATATTGAAATAATTGCAATAAAATGAAGTATTTTATAATTTGTAAAATGTTAAAAACCAAATGATATTGTTGAAAGAAAGAAGTTTAAAATAATAATTAAATAATATTTAAATAAAAGTATACAATAGTTTAATTCAGTAAAGGTAAAATAGTCAACAAATATAGTATAAGACAATAATAACGATGCAACGACGTTTATATCACAACCCGTGGCACAACTAGAGTTCAAATCTTGGGGGTGCTACAATTACAAATCACATACACATTACATATTTACTAATTATTTACAGTAATTACTAATTAGTATTAGATATGTAATATATAATTATAAAATATAATATAGATTTTGTTACTTACAGGCCTTATAACAATTCAATTGGTATATACAAATAATTTATTTACAATTGTTGTTTAAAGTATTAAGTATATTTTTGTGTTCAATTGTGCATCGTGGTAATCTTCGTTGGTTTGTTATATGCAAGTATAAGTAGTTTAATAATTTCGTCTTTTCGTATATTAAGTCGTACTATCTTTTTTATAATTTGTTTTTTGATAATATTGCTACTATCAACATAAACTAGCTTTAAAACATTAGCTAGTTTCTTCTTCCACTTGTTAGAGACTAACCTCTAGTGGCTTACTCTGAAGAATACAACCCCGAGTACTGTTTCTAATATGTCTTCTAAATGATTATACTAAATTTTTATTTTTATTTTAACAGATATGAACTTACCAGATTTATCTTTTTCTTTTCCTTTGGTAAAATGTCAATAAAAATGTACGTAATTATTAATATTATAAATATACTTTAAAAGCGTGTTTTTTTAGTTTTTTAAACTACATTTATTATTAACTTTTTAGTTTTCTATGACATCGCTGTTACAGTCACGGAATGTTTATTGTAAATTATGACTATCTATAGATATAATTTATGTATTGGCAGTTAGTGTATTTATAAATTCACATATGTGTCTTACTACTATTGATAATAAAGGCTATATACTTGCTAAAATTGTCATAAAAAATTTTTACAGCAATAATAGTGTCATGTTTTAATTTTGGCGAAGGGTGGGGTGGGGTGAACGCGTTACGACCATCTAGTCTCAAGGCCATAGACACGTGCGCGTGGGAAAGTTACAAAAAACAAACACTCAACATACACGTGAAACTACTATAACCGTGTTAATAATAAAATAGCCATTGTTAACCGGTCCATAATTGAGTTACAAGCATTTTAATACAAGAGTAGGTATAGAACGCTAGTGGATTATAAGTACAACCAATATGAACTACTATTTTTTTTGTCTGTTATATAGACAACTAATAAGTACAGTAAAATGATGATTTGTGAAATGATATAAGAATTGTATGTTAATTTGATAAAAAAATGTAGTTTCTCTATTATAAATAACAATTGCATTTAAAAAAAAGGCCTACATAAGAATGGAAAAAACAATGGGG